ATCTCTTAAACTTTTAAGTATCTTCCAAGTCCAATTTGAAAATCAAAGGCAATCCACTAAAGACTATACCCTCCTGAAATTTGTTTCTAAGATTAACAGGCCATTATTCAGGTACAAGTCAAACAAATTTGGTCTTTCCGGTTCTTCTTTGTTTGGTTTGCATCTGATATATTCATTTCTGTTACAACTTACTAATATCAAGACATGAAAAATAGGTTACTTCATCTACATAGAGAACTGTATCAAAACTGGGGCAATTAAACAGTGCTCCAAAGACAATGTTATTCAGCTCAAGCAGCTTCAATTACATGTATGATACAGATGACTGCTAAGCAGGTAACAGATAGCCTGGAGAGATAAAGGCCTAAAGGTAACTCTAACTTTCTAAACACTGAAAAAAGAATTTTACCAAAATGAAGACAGTTAAAACTGGAGGGAAAACCAAACACTACAACAGTTTCTTCTCTTTATATTCTCTTAAACATTTACATTACGTGCACTTTATAAAGTTGTGTCTTTCACGTTTTCCTAAACAGCGTTATTACATTAAACTAATTTCAGTCAAATTCAAGAATAAGAGAAATACCACCACGAAAATACTTAAGGTTTAAGTGAATTAGAGGATCCTAATTCTTTGAACGCAACTTAATTTCTGACATACCGCCACCAAAAATATCGTAGACAACAAAGCATTAATCTCATTTTGCATAATAATGTTTGCTCAAGATCTACTAAGGGGAATTATCAAGAAATAAAATCTGAAGATAGCACAGGAGTAAACCATTCAATAACTTACAAAACTAAATTATAGTATTTAATTCTTTTTAATATCACAAGAGTGATATTTATTAAAATTCCTTGAAAACCTTTGAAAAGAATATATTATTTGAAAAAATCATTTATCTGAAACACCCTTGAAAAAAGTAGCTAAAATGAAAAGCTTTCAGACATTATCATAATAACAGAAGATACCTATACTGAATACTTACTGCTAAACATTTTACATATATTATCCTATCGCATATTATAAAACAGACATCACCCCCACCTTATATATGTGAAAATAAGATTCACTGGCTAAGTTATATGCTCTGGGTCTCACACGTAGTAAATGGAAGGTGAGAACTGAATTCATTTCTATGCGACTCTGAAAGCAGTACTCTTATCCATTCATTATACCAGTGCTTCCCAACTTTTGTCACATGATGGCACACACTGAAAATGATAGTATTTCTAAGGCTTACTAAAGTAAGCTGGAGGGGCTTGAAAAAAATAATATGTATTTTCTTCATATCATAAAATTATGACATGAAAAAATACAAAGTATTACAGATGATATGAAATACTAATTGGCATAAACCTTCCTAATATTTGCAACTGCCATGTTTCCAAAGTTTAAAGAAGAAATCATACTAAAAAATGTTCAAGTATCATTTCAACTGTTGCAAAATTTCAAAAAGTTATGAAAATGATATAAAATTTCAAAACTATAGGGGCGCCTGGGTGGCTCAGTCGATTAAGTGCCTGCCTTCAGCTCAGGTCATGATCCCAAGGTCCTCAGATTGAGACCGGCATCCCCTGGGGAGCCTGCTTCTCCCTCTCCTTTTGCAGCTCCCCCTGCTTGTGTGCTCTCAAGCTCTCTGTCAAATAAATAAATAAAAACCTTAAAAATTTTAAAATAAAAAAATGAAGTTTCAAAACTATAAAAAAACTTACAAACAGCACACTTGTATACCATCCTATATACTGCACTCCAGTTGGGAAGCTTTGCATAATATAATTTTGTCTTCCTACATAATATTGTGATTAAACATTAATTTGACATTATCAAGATCTTCCCAAGAACACACCTAAAGGAAATTCAAATCAAAGGTAATCAAAAAACTGTAACACTTAAGTATTCCTTAACTAATTGAGCCCACCCTGGCTTCTTAATTTGAATTTCTAAAGTACCTATAATCTGTTAACATTATTTTTTATTTAATAATAACAATAATAGCGAGGTGCCTGGGTGGCTCAGAGGGTTAAGCCTCTGCCTTCAGCTCAGGTCATGGTCTCAGGGTCCTGGGATTGAGCCCCACATCACATCGGGCTCTCTGCTCAGCAGGGAGCCTACTGACGCCTCTCTCTCTGCCTGCCTCTCTGCCTACTTGTGATCTCTCTCTGTGTCAAATAAATAAATAAAATCTTTTTTAAAAAATAAATAAATAATAACAATAATAGCTAATATTCACTGAGCTAATCCTATGTGCCAGGCTGTATTCCACTTTAAATTATTATCATATTAATCCTCATAGCATTCCTATAGTGCCTCTATTTTCTCTATTTTAAAGATGAGAAAATGGAGCAGAGCAAAACTGACTAAGTAACTTTCCCAAGGTTACAGCTGGTAAATGGGAATTGGAATTTAAAATAGTCTGACTTCATAGCTCTTGCTGTTATCACTATACTAAACTACATCCCTCAAAAAAAAAACAAACAAACAAACAAAAAAACAGTAATATCTAATGAACACCTGTTATGTGCAAGGAAAAACATAGGTAACTGAATATATCTCAACTTAGACTAAGTTTGACAATTTCAAAGTGATGAAGTAAAAATGACTTGCATGTGCATCAAAGGAGGTATTCTATAGCGAAAAAAAAGGTATCCGTATACTTGATGAGTGTGTTCTGCTTAAAGAAAATAAGGGATGACTTTAACTTCTGTGCATTATGATATGGTTCAAGCAAAAGCATCTGTGTCTGCAACTATTTATATCTGTTGACTTAACTTGCTCAAGAATATTAAAAAATCTTACTTAAAACAATGAAACTGGTAAAAATTAAAAGCAAATGTTTTAGTACTTTGATTTTTACTTACTGCTTTTGCAGTTTGTTAAGTCATCATGTGTTTTATTTTGTTTTTAATTAAATGCACTATTTATAAAATCCCGAATAAAGATTTTTCCAGACATTTGCTTGCCTAAATTCTGCCTGCCAAATCCTGCCATTTGGAAGAAAGCCTCACAGTTTATAACTGTATTACAATAAGCTAATGTCCTGAGGGGATCTCTGATGGGCTAACGTAAAACAAGGCAAGATGAAAATACACCTTTCATTTAATAACCAATCAATCAATACAGACAACATTAATGCCTTGAGTATTATGGCTTATGTTAAACATCTGAAAGAGCCCAAGAAGCAATCTCCAACATTAAGTGGTTTACACTAGTAAATATTTAAGAAGCATCCACTATGTGCCACAGACCATGTTCATCCACAAATGATACCTGTTAAACAGAGAGCGGCAGTCTAGAATTACAATTTGAATCCATGTGTTATGAAAGGTCAGATATTCAAACCAAAAGCTCAAGCTCCAATGCATAACTTTCCCCCTATATCTAAAGAGCTGTTCCTAGGGCTTCTGCAATCTACAAACCACTAAATATGTCAACACGAAGATACTGGCATGGGGACCCAGCACAACCTGGAATACAAACTAACCCTTGGTTTATGGTGGTGCATTCTGTTCTCCAGAGCTTTACACCATGAAAATTTGGCACTTCTCCTAAAGCAACTTCTTCTTCTCAAAAATTGTTTTAAAAAGTTCTATTGAAAAAAAAAAAAAAAGGTTCTATTGCTTACGGAAACTATTACTCCTACTTATTCTTCTCTAACAGAACTGTAGAAAATACTCAGAGTAAAGAAAATGTGACTTAACTAATTGGTATGCTGATGCCAGGGTACTTTATATTATTTACTGAGCCTCTAGAAACCAGTTTTTAAAATGTTTAAACTAATCATGCTGAGTAAAATGCATCTGACTGTACCTAAAAGCTGCTCAAAACGAATGTCAGGTGAAATAAACAGTAATTTTCTGAAGCCAATGTTTTTAGTTTGGAGAGACAGCTCACCAGAAGTCTGTCACAGCTTTTTTAATGTACCAAGTTTCAGGAGCACCTGGGTGGCTCAGTCAGTTAAGTCTCTGCCTTCGGCTCAGGTCATGATCCCAGGGTCCTGGGATCGAGCCTGGCATCGGGCTCTCTGCTCAGTGGGGAGTCTGCTTCTCCCTCTTTCACTGCCTGCCTCTGCCTACTTGTGATCTCTCTCTGTGTCAAATAAATAAATAAAATCTTTTTTTAAAATGTACCAAGTTTCATAATTTATTCTAAGGTAATTCCATTCCCACTGTCCATCATACCTAGCAACGATTCAGCAACTCCCAGTATGTAATCTATTGTCCACTACATCTTTTGCCACAAACCTCAAGCCATCCAGTCCTTAAATTTCCTCAGCTCACACCACCTCCCCTTCTATAAAAACAAGGGAAGGAGTTATAAAACCTCAAGAGAGCAAAAATGATAGAAGGTGGAAAAGGAAAGACAGCCTCTGCACCCAAGTTCTTTTCCTTTATACCTGAGACTTGTCAATTATCTCAACCACACACCTTCATGTTCTGGTTAATCCAAGGTTCCTCCACTTACAAACAGTTCAAAATGCCCACTTGCTAATAAACCACAGGGTCCTTACGTGACCACTCTGTACCTGCCCCTCCATTTACATTAATCATTCAAGCATCCCAACTTCATCCAAGAGTATCACCATGTTCTAAACTCATAATCCATTATACAAGCCCCACACACTCACTCCAACCCCTTGCAAAACCTTCCCTAATATCGGCTCCTCCTTTACCAGCTTTTCGCGGATTCTTAATACAGTCTCACTGTCCTCCTGCCCCATACTCCCAAGCTCTCTTCACTAAAGGCCAAATCCAGCTCGGAGTCACACCCTCCCTCCAGCCCAATTCCTACAATCCTAAACCCCACCCCCTCATCACGCCCTACCAGGCCTAAGCCACCAACCCAACACCCCGCCCCGCGGCCGTCACGCCCTCCAGATCCCCTGGGGGTCCTTTCAGCCCGCCGGGACTGACTCCCCCTACCCCCCGCTCCCGCAAGGGCTCCCAAGTGCCTAGGCCCTCCGGTTCACCCCGCCAGCACTCCCCCCTCAGCCCCTCACCGAGTAGCAGCAGCTTCACTTCTTTGGCCGCTTTCTCTCCGTCCTCCCGCAAGTTGCGGTCGATCATCTTGCTCCGCTCCACCGCCGCCTTGTCCTCGGCGCTCAACGTGCAGCCCATGGCGGCGGCGGGAGAGGGGACCGAGCCCGGGCTCACTCAACACCGCGGAGTCTGCGGCTCGGCTAACTAAGACAGCGTCTACGGCTGGGCGGCGGCCCGCTCCGTCAGCTACTTGAGCGCCCGAATGAACCGGATATCCGGCGTTTACGACACTTCCGGCAACGCCCCACGGCGGTTGCTGCTCAAAACTCTCCGCTGGGGTAGAGGAGGAGTGACGGAAGGCGGAAGTACGGGGAGAGGACGGGTGAGTCCGAGCGGAGTAGCGGTGTCTCCTGGAGTACCTGGTACGCGCGGCTCGACTTTAGTGCCTCTTTTCCTTTTCGGCTGCCTTATTTGAGTTAATGTAGGAAAAGCAGGGACTGGCTTCCCCAGTTGGTGGCCCCTTCCTGAGGTCACACAGCAGGCTTTGGAAGAGGGGCGGGGATTCCCAGATAAGAGTCCACAGCGCGCACAGGAATTTATGCTGGGAATTTCTCAGTGGCCAGAAAAGCCCCCTTGATCTCTGGCTGTGGAGACCCGAAGCCCCTTCCCAAGTGTACAACACTCTGCCAGGGTTGTCTCAACCCGATCTACAGGATGAAAACAAACAGCAGAGCCTAGGGCCGGCAACGCTTCACATCTTGAGATCTGTAAGGCTGACCATGCCTAGGACCTTAGCATCCCCTTCTTCCCTCCCCATTGTCCTCCCGTTTCTTGCTCTCAGGATGTATCCGGGTCCTTGTGCCGTTACCTACGAATTGCCTAGTGACTGTGTTGACAGAGGCCCACCTGAAATCGTAAATATTCTATTACCTGAAAGGTAAGCTTGTAGTTCTCCACAAGATTTCCGTGATACCTTTCTCCAATATAAGCCACTTTAGCGCGGATAAATGATTCCGCGTTAGGGGCTTCGGACATCTACCAAGATCAGTTAACCTCGGGCCCACACCCCAAAACAAACCAGTGCCTCCTGTGAATCTCCCTACTGAAATTTCCTGTTGTGGTACCACCCGAAAAGGGAGGGTCTAGTAAATTTGTCTGTCAGCTCTAGCATCACCTGAAAATAAACCTCCATGAAAAAGCCCGTCTCCTAGCCTTTTCATTCATAATCCTGGGTACTACCCATGACAGTGGCCATGAATTACCTTTACTGCCAAATAGCTGCACAAATACGATCACCATACATTCCAGAGAGGAGAACTCTTGTTGTCCCCCAAACCGTTCCCTGGGATTAAAAACTATTTCCCTAATAGAATCTAAACCTTAGCATATAAGGTCCAAACAGAAAGGCCTATATTATGACAATTCATTAATTAGGGATTTCTTGAGAGCCACCGTAAACAACTTCATCCACTATAACTTCATAATGCCAGTTCTTGAAAGTTTGAAAAGCCTCCTACTCATTCCCAAATGACTGTTAGAATAAAAAGGATGGCTTTGCCATGATCAATACTTGTGGGGGAATAGGGCAAGAGGAAAGGGTAGAACCAATATTTATTGAGTACCTATTTGCCAGGTATGGCTAGGTGCTTCCACATGGTCATCTCTTTTAATCCTCACAACAACCCTGTGAGGTAGGTAATGTTACCCCTGTTTTTACAGATGAAGAAATAGGCTCAGAGAAACTAAGCATCTTTCCCAAGTTCACACAGTGAAAAGTAGATGTCTGCCTCCAAATTCACCCCCTTTTCTACCATGCCACTGTAAGATGTTACCTGGGGAGACCTGACAACAGAAAGTTTTCATCTAAGCTTGGAAGTTACCCTAACACCACCCGGGTGCAGGAAAAGTAACTGACCGGTCAGATGTCTCAACCTGTTGATTCTTGAGCCCACTAGAGGTCAGATTTTGTCCAGGAACAGCTTTCACAGCCAAGAACTACATAGCAAACTTTACCAAGTGGTCCTGGTGACTGGAAAACAACTGGAAGATGGTCATGGCAGAAACTGTTGGGAGAATTGTCAACATAACAAAAATTTTTATTTCCTTCATGATCCACTCAGGGAAAAATAAATGGCAAATGAACCAGCCTATGTCAAATTCTGTAATAAACACCAGTGAGTTCAGTGTCAGGAAATACAAGCCTGAATTAGAGATATCCTTGCACTTAAAATTTTCTTTTTTGATGTATGTGAAGGAAGGGCTGGAGGGCAAGGCAAGGGAGAAGACAAAATAAATTAACAAAATGGCTGCCAGACGATGTTTCCTGTCCTCCCCTCTCCTCACTCCCTCTCCCCACCCCCAACTCCCCCATGCAAGCACCTTTCCTGTTTCCACTGGACTCACACTGCCACCTGCTGGCAATGCTTAAGGCCTACTAGCTGATCCCTGATGTTTGAAGAGAACTCCTTATCTACAAATGAGTTGTCTCCTTTCTGAGTTTATCTTAAAAGGGAGGAGAGGGAGAAGAGCAAGTTTTTCAATCACGAAGGATTCTCCTTGGTAGATATACTATCTAAGGGATTTCTTCAGTGTAATAGGTTCTAGACTAAAGTAAGTCTGGTGGTAGGAAGACAAACCTGTAAATTCTCCTACATCTAAAGGGGGAAAGCTGTTTGCCCAGTTTCTTAATAAATTCTTTTCTGCAGCTAGAATTTCATTTACAACCCTCACACATTCCACAATCCACAGGAAGCTTCCATGTAGGTATCTTGCTTCAGTGGACTGAGCTCCAATGTATTCTCCAATATATTTCTCCTTCTTTAATGCTTTACCGGATATAAGTGCTCTGTAAAAATACAAGGTACCTGATAAAATTAGACTATGAACTCCTCAAAGGCAGTGACTGCGTGGGTCCCAGAGAATACTAGGTATTCAACTATTATGCACTGAATTGAACTGAAATAGTAAATGTTGATATCAGAATAACTTTTTATAATAAAAAGTATTTATTGGCCATTCAAAGGGGAAACTATCCCACTCCCACCGGCCCGTCTTCCCTTTAATGTTCAGTGAGCCAGGAATTTGTTCAAATACAGATTAAAGCACCCTCTTGTCCTGCCTCAACCCTTGAATGTTACTTGATTCAACTGAGGGAAGTGGATAAACAAGTAGTCCCAGATGGGTGTCCTGTCCAGTTTGCAACTATTCCGCCTCCCTTGCAAATATCACCACTGATACCAACCAACAAGTTCCTACAGTCTCAATTAGTGAACATCTGAACCCAACTCTCGTGCCCTCTCTCCAACCCAGGGCTGCAGATAGGAGAGAGAGACTTAAGTCTTTGTCACTGAAGCTAATTTTGAGAGCGATGGATGGGAGTAGGAGGCATTTAATGGGCCATGGAAACCCCACCCTTCCCATTCCCAACCTTAGTCTCTTGTACCCGATAGTCCAGGGGGCCGGAGGTGGGTCACTGCCATGAGGAGAGAGATCAAGGAGGCCAATCCTAGGAAGAAAAAAAAAAAATTACAGTATTATTGGTCAAGATGATTTTCTGGCTTCTCTGTATGCATCCACCTTAGCAAATCAAACGCTAACCCCCACCTTCAGCCGCCCAAACCCCAATCTCTCCACTCCTTCATTCTAAAAAATAAGGAGAAAGAGCCACCTTGTTGTATCCTTGCCTTTGCTGAGATCAAGCTGGAAGCTTGATCTCCCATGTGCAGGAGAGAGACAGCAAAATAGAACAGAAGGGCTGTTCCCAGAGGGTGGGACAGAGCTGCAGTCAGCTTTTCTGTCTTCTCCTCTTTGTACCCTGCCTGCTATTTCCCCTTGCTTCTGGCCAAACTCAGGAAAGGAATATACCCAGCTGGCCCTCTCTGTTTAAGGAAACCTCAGTTCTAAAACTAGAAAAAGATCCATTAACTCAAATGGAAACACTTAGCTGTACTTTGTTTAGTTCTTTTTAAACCTAGCAAGGAAAGGAGAAGACACAGGTTATTTTCTTACCTTGCTTGAATACAATTACTGCCCTGGACAATTACACTGAAAAATGAAATACCCTAAGGGATTCCCAGGATAACTCCAAACCCGGCCTGCTGCTCTATATCCTCCAACTCCTACCCTTGAAGAGTTTCCCTGCTTCTGAGGCATGGAAAATTCACTGGTTGAAAGGCATCATCTCACCTTCGTGACCCTTTATTCTCATTACCATCTCACCAGGTTCCCTCCCCCAGTAGTCAAGGATCATAGCCATGTCCAAGGCTTTTGCCACACGTTCATCCTGTTGGCCTTGTTCCTGACCCAGAAAACACTAAGCAAAAGCTGTGTGTAGAGACCCCAGCCCCAGCCCCTGCTAGCTGGGAATAGGTAATCCCACAAGGTGTTCCTTCAGTTATAAGTGGCCCCAGCCCCATCTCCCTCCAAGTGGCTAGAAGCCCATCATGATTCCAGTCGAGGTGAGGGGGCGGGACGGAGGTAGCTGTCCGACATGATGATGTCGCTGGTGAGTTGTTGCTCCAGGAACTCAGAGGTCTCTTCAGCTATCTGGCCTGGAATTCGAAAGTCCACAGCAGGTGTCTCCTGCTTGGGACTGGGGAGGGGTCGGGAAACCCAGGACTCAGTGGGACAGCCTGTACCCTGAAGGAACTGCAGAAAGTTCTCCTCAATGGAGCCCTCCCGGCTTGGTAGCCTCAGCTCCTCCTCTGGAGCCGGCTTGAAGAAGCAGACAAACTGCTTGCTGAGCTCCCCTCGGATCTGCCGGTTGAGACATCCATAAAAGAACGGGTTGGAAGTGAAGCAGAAGTAGCCTATCCAGGTCACGACATTCTCCACCTGCCCAGTCGAAATGGGCTGAGCACTCAGGGCAACGTAGAGGTGGAAAGAAAAGTAGGGCAACCAACAGAGCAGGAACTGTCCCCCCACAGCCAGGAGGACCACTGCAGCCTTCCCTCCCCCGAACGTCCGGTGTGGGGTGGTCTGGGGGGCCCCCGAGCTGGTGACCATAGTGGAGCGGCTGCTGAGAGACTCAGAGCGTTGCCGGGGTGTCTCCATCCACGTGGGCAGCGGTCCGTGCTGCATGGCCGCCACTCGGGCTACTCGGAACATGCTGCAGTAGACCACAAGGATGAGGAGCAGAGGCAACAGGAAGTAAAGGACAGCAAAGACCACCACGAAAAGCTGGCAGTAGGCACTGCGGCTCCATTGGAGTGAGCAGCCTGGGGGGACGCTGAGAGCTCCCTCCTCCCGGGAGGCCCTTCCCAACACTGGCACAGAAGCCATGGCCAAGGCTTTCACCCACACGCCCACTAACACAGAGGCCACCAGCCCCAGCGTCATGCGCACCTCATAGCGCATGGGATGGACAACATAATAGTAGCGCTCCACATTGATGGCCGACACCGAGAGAATGGCCAGGCTGACGAAGCATATGCTCAGGAACAAGTAGAGGCGGCAGGCGACCTCCCCGAAGAGGTCATGGTCAAAGAGGGCAGAACTGGAGAGCATGGCCAGGGGCATGAGGGTCAGGGCGGCCAGCAGGTCCACCAGGCAGAGGTGGAAGACGAAGACAAATTTTCGGAGGGCGGGTGTCTTGGCGATAACAGCCATCACAGCGGCATTGCCAGCCACAGCGATCAAGTCCAGCAGGAGCATGAAGAAGAGGGCCACAGATTCCGAGGCCACGTCCCGCAGCCCCACCTCTGGGACCCCACTGGCAGTAGAGGGACCTGGGGTTTGAGGGACCCTCCCCAGAGTGGAAGAGTTGCCTGATGACTGGGGGATGGGAGAGGACTCCATGGGGCCGAAAGAGGACACCCAGGGCACCTCCTGTCACAGGCCCATCCCCCATCCTAGTCCAGTGACCCTGGGATGGCCAGCCCAGGCCCAGGCTTAACAGGCTTGTCAATTTTGTGTGTGGGGATGGGGGGAGAGGGCGCCTCCTGCTGGAGCCTCCCCGACAGGCTCTAATCGCCAGCCTTCCAGGCCTGGCTGTGCATGTAATGGAACAGAGGGCTCAGAAGCTCATCTCTGCTTCCTGGCTCTGGTCTGCCTTTGGTGACCTCGAAGAAGCAGGAGACATGAGAGATGCCGGAGCCTCACTCACTCAGCACTCCACCTTCTGACTGGTCGCCGGTTCCTTTTTCTTTTCCTTTCCTCTGTTCTCCATGCCCTTTTCCTCTCTCAGGGACTGTTATCCAGAGATTCTAAATCCTCTGTCTCCCTCTCCCAGGGTCCCACTGAGCTCCAGGATAGTGCCCCAGTTTTCAAGTTGCTTATGTAAATTTTCTGATTTCTTGTCTCTCAAAATGGCAGGAGCTGTTGGGGCATAGAAGGGACATGAGATCCAGTTACCAGTCCCAGGTCTGGGAATTACTGTGACTCTTTAGGATTTCAGTTTCCTCATGAAGGCATCTGTAAAAGGAAGGGAATAACGGCCACTTCATGACTGTTTGGAGGATCCTGTGAGACTTCATAACAATACCACCCATAAGCGCTAACATTTATAATGGTGGTTTCCAAATGCCCAACCCTGTTCTAAGCACTGTATGTAAATAAGCTCATTCAAATCCTCACACAATCTCTGAGGCAGGTATTACTCTCATCCCCATTTTGCAGTTGGTGAAACTGAGGCCCAGAGAGGTCAAGTAACTTCCAAAGGCAGCAAGGTCTGGGTACGTACCCAAGCGCTCCGGCTCCAGGATCAGTACTCCAGCCCACCTGACCATGCCCTCCACAGCAGCTGGAATTCAGTAGGTATTCAGTAAATAGTTGTTGGATCTGAACCGTCTCTAAAAATGTCTGTCAGTGCTCTGGGGCTACCACTGGGAAGAGATCACCTGAAAGGGGGGAGGACTGTACTTTAGTCTCCTGTGACATCACCAGCCCCAGGACAAAGAGCTGCCATATGGGGAAGGAAACTGGGATGTCAGCCATCCAGTCTCCACTGCCCCCAAAAGCCGGAAGGGCATAGGTCACTTGAAAGCTGCCCTTCTTCACCCACTCATCAGCCTCGCAAGGCCACTGTGCTCCTGCAGGTGGGAGAGGAAATGCTCCTAACCTCCTCCTCCCTGGGCCTGGATATCTCTGCTCATTGGAGCAGATCCCTGGCCCAGAGTCCTCTTGGCCCTGGACTGTTAGCACACTCCAGAGCAAGGACGAAGAAGTAGGTGTCTGCGGGGGGCAGAGATAAGAGTGGGGAGGTCACTGTGATTGTGGAAATGGGTGACCATAAAGCAGAGAAAACAACTGGAAGGAATAGGGAGGGGAAGAAGTCTGGGGTTTCAGCATCTCTCATTTCTCCTGACCAAATGACAGATCAAATGTTCTATGTGTCTCATTATCCATATTAAGTTTGCATATAATTGAAATAATGAAATTAAAAATTATTTTCATTTCTATATCCAATTCTTGCAGTCCAGTTTCTCCCAGTATGATGTGTGATGGTATGCAAATTTGAGGCAAACTATGGGCATGCCAAGTCTGATGGGCTGTCTGTAGACAAGTCACAAGTTTCCTGGACCATGGTTTCCTCGTCTGTAAAATGGTAAGGTTGAACTGGACGACTTCCAAGATTCCCATATCATACAACATTTGATGACTCTTGAGTTCCTGGGCTACCAAGGGCCTGGTGGTTACTCGGTTTAAAAACCCACACCTCTCTGACTACAATAAAGTGAACCACGTGTGGCAGACCATCCCTGTTCCCTCCCCATTGTGACAGCCTTACAATCACTCTTGGGTTTGGGCATTACCACTAGCCGTGCACTAATTTAACTTCAATCCTGACATGAGTGCAGTAGGAGCTCAATATAGCTTTGTGAGTTGTATCAAATTCAAACTGGTCTGATGAGTCCCTGCCCCTTCATACCAGCTTCAAACATACTCAGTAGGTTAGCTGTGTGCCAGCCAGGGGACTCTGCTCTGGAAAGGGTAACCTGGTCTCCAGGTGCCGCCCTAACTTTGGACAATTGCCTAGGGATGTGCCTCTCCCTGGGGATAACAGGAAGCTTGTTTCACAGTTAAAATGGCCACATAGACTCAGGATCTACAGAGAAGGTGAAGACAGGGCTCAAAAGTGGAGACATCAGCTGCTCATAAGACAGTCTGCCAGGAAAAAGCCAGAAAGCTATGGGAGGGGAAGCATCTTTGCCCCTTACTCTTCATGCTGTGGCTTCCTCGTCCCTTCCAGCTGGGAGTGGGGCCCAGAAGACGTGGCTCTGAGGCCCTGGGAGCTAAAGGAGTAAAGGCCCTCCGTGTCTGCATAGACATCAAGAGTCTGCCAGCTAGGCCCACTCAGGGTCCCAGACTGAGGGAAGCAGACATGGTTTCCACGTGGAGATGGAGAGGCTACTGTGCAGCCATGATGAAGCCCTAGACAAGAAAGCACTGGACATTTCTCATTTCCAGAGCCCCCTTGGCCTGGCCAAGATCTCCACCCTGACTCCTAAATTCCAGGATTCCCATTTCCGTCATAACAGATGGACCAACATTCCTGCTCCCCATCACTCTCTCACTGACGGATGGGGGTTAAGGAGGGGAGGACTGTACATCATGGTGTCAGGGGGGAAGCCCAGAGAGCCTCACTCCACTCCTAGCTCACATCATCATGCCTTCTCACATGCTTTTGTCTTCCCCACAGCTTCCTGCCAGCAAGCCCTCCCTCACCTCCAGGACCTCTCAGTACCTGGCAGGCATTGCCCCCACAGGGGCTTAGGTCTGGCCCCCTAGCCAGGGCATGGTCAAGTTATAAATATCCTTGTGTCAGGATGCAAGATGTGCATAAGTGCCCAGCCCAAGGCCAAAGAGGTGTCATTGGGATTCGCATGCACCTGTTCCCCAAATACGGAGCTTCCATCCCAGGGACCTGAGCACGGCCTTCCTTCAGACAAGAGCATGGCCCTTCTCAGCCAGGGGAGATCTCCAGGGGGCAACCACACCTCTCCCCAGTAAAGTTGCCCACGCCCAGGACGCAGAGTTGCCCATCAGCCTACATACTAAGGGACCTGTTCCTAGGATGCGGGGGACCCATCTCTATGACATGGAGTAAGACAGATGGGGAACCCTGCCTGTCTGTAGGATGTGGGTACTCCGTCTGGCAGGAGATCAACCCCCATCTCTAGGCTTCAGAGGTGCCCACACCCCAGTACTGCCTTTGAGATACCTGGGAGCCCATCCCTCGACGAAATTGGCCACCGTAAGGCAGGGTGGGCTGGTCCTTGGGACACAGAGCTACCATCCTGCAGAGTACCTCAGCACAACCCAGCAGGCCCTGGGACTGGCCCCCATTCCTGGCCTAGTCGGCAACTCCTACCTTTGCTGAGCAGCTCCCGGCTCCCATGTGATAGCTCCTCTCAGCTGATGCTTCTCCAGGGCTGCTGAAGCCTGAACCACTGCAGTGAGCGGTGAGAGGCAGCCGGCAGAGCGGGATGCTCAGGAAGCTTCTGGGTCCTAATGGCCTCCTGCTTCCCACCCAGCCCCTTGGAGCCACTTCTGAAGCAAGGAGTCAGGCACCAGTGCCCCTGGGGCAGATGCTCAGGGGTGGTTCCAACCACTCTCAACGTCTCCGGGGGTGCTGGAGTGGCATGTCAAAACCCTCATGGGGCCAGGCGACTGTGATCAGGAGAGAACTTCCTGGCCCTCCTGATGAAGTATAAAGGGTACTTGGGATCAGAAAATCTAGGTTTAAGGCCTGGCTCTGGCACTTACTAGCTGTATGAACCTGGGCAAGTCACTTCTCATTTCTGACCTTGGTTTCTTATCTGTTCAAAGAAAATATAGGCTAGACAATCCTGAGGCACCCACAGCCCTGCCATTGTGTGCTTTTGTGTGACGTCAGAACAAAGAAGCTCTTGCAGCAGGCCAGTCGGTGGAGACGCAGAGTACTAGGGTTAGGCCTGGCTCGGGCTAAGGTCCAGGGGCTGGCTCCTTGGACAGCTGCCAAATGTGTACAGTGGACAACTTCAAGAGCAGCATTCAGGCTTGGAGGGGAGCTAAAGGCCTCGTCCTAACCCTGCCTTTATCCCCCAGAAATCACATTACTATTGTTTTCTTAGATTGTATGATTATTTGGTGTGGGCTGTGAGAACCGATGGAGATGGGGGCGGGGAATCTAACATCCCCATGAGCCCCCACAGGTGCTGCCACCATAAGACTGTTCCCTGAAGACAGACCGGGCACCAGGAACTCGGAAAGGCTCAGATCACTCTGGATCTGTAGGACAGGACTGAGCTGTGGAACACTATCCGTAGAGGGCCCAAGGCCACACGACAAGGCTTTGGGGGTGAGATGGAGGGGCATGGCTTCCCACCATGAAACCCTCAGTTCCCCCAGCTATGTGACTGACACCCAAGGACGGGAGCCTAACATTGCAGAGCTGTAAGACACCCTACAGGCCAGAGCATCCATGTTTCTGAGACCCAGAGAGGTGAAGGGGTTGTCCAAAGCCATGCATAACAGAACCATGAGCCTCAGCCAGGAATTCGGGCATAATACCTACTCCAGAGCCCTCTGCCCTGAGACTTGCCCATCCACGAACTCTTTCTGCCTCCAAAAGGGAAGGAAGACCAGACCCAACCCAAAGAACCATGAGAACAATGACTTACCCAGAAAATCCAGAGAGGGCAAGGTGGCTGCCCCAGGCCGCAAGTCAACCGCAAAGAGGCTACTGACCAGCCCAGAGTCAAAGCAGTGATCACCAGTATCCCCCAAAACCCTTTCTTGAGCCCTGACAAGTGCCGAGTCCTTCACATACATTCCTTTCCTTCCTCACACGAGTTCTCTGAGGCAGCCTTTAATCACCTTACTTTATGGATGAGGAAATGGGAGCCAAAGGTTAAGTGACTTTCCCCAGATCACACAGATAGGAAGTGCCAGAGCCAATATTTGGACCCAGGCCTGTTTGAAGCCAAAGTATTTACCCCCTCCTCCATGACCCCAGGACCTCTTTGGAGACCTGTCACGAGCCTCTGGGCTGAAACCCTAAAGCCTATTCCATAGAAGTGGACATTGCCTTCCAGGAAATAGCCAAAACCAAAACATATACCTTAGTACGGGCAAATCAAATGAAAATACCAAATGTAAACATGTAGACAGTAAAATGTTTTTATTAATCCCTGTGCTGACATGTTGGCAAGATTATCTTGAGATCGGTCAAACCCTCTGGAGTCAGGTGAAGCCTGATTAGCACCCATACACTTACTGCAGGGGCCCGGCCAATGGCCCCCTTCCAAGGACTGAGAAAGAGCTAGAGCAGACACAGACTCACCAGCACTATAGAAAGAGAGAGAGCATTATAGAGAGAGCACTGGACTGGGAAGAAAACCTTGATTCTATTTGGGCTCTACTCCATTGGTTGGTGGTAAGTTGGTGAGTTGGCCATCTGTCCCTTAGTTTTTCTATCTACCTTAGTTTTTCTATCTCTAAAATGGGCAACACTTCCTTCACACACAGACACACACACACCCAGCTTATTAAATAGGGATAGGAAGCCTGCAATATAAACATAGCCTTCTTTTCAGGCCTGGGGAAGCTAGTACAGTTTACCCTAGCTGGCCAGGCAATGGGCATGGTAGCCCGAGAGCCAAGCCTCCAGGTCCTGAGGCTCCTCCCAGAGATCTGTTAGGAAAGGTGGTTCATCGAGGCCGCGGATCCTGGAGATCCTCTCAGTTGCTGGAAGCCATTTTGGCTTGTGAGTGTGGAGAGAGGGGAAACTGTCTATGCTGGCCCAGGGGTAAGTGGCTCAGTCAGGTAAGCATCCAACTCTTGCTTTTGGCTCAGGTCATGATCTCACGATCCTGGGATAGAGCCCCATGGGGCTCTGTGCTCAGTGGGGAGTCTGCTTGAGGATTTCTCTCTCTCCCTCTCCCTCTACCCCTCCCTCTGCTTGTTTTCTCTCGCTCTCACTCTCGCTCTCAAATAAATCTTTTAAGGAAATAATAATAACAGTGATGATGATGGTGATGATACTAGTTTTGGGGCACCCCATCTGGGGAGGCATTGCTGATGTCGTATCTCATTAAATGATCTCAGTCAGGGTTTGGGGCCGCTGTTGACACTCCCTCCCCGGTCCACCCTGCTGATCCCTCCCTTCAGAGTTTAACGTGAAGGAGGATGTGGGAAGACAGAGGTGGAGAAACTGGGGTGGCCCCACAACCCACATTAGAGATCCATCATCCTTCATGCCCCAGAGTGGACTCCTGTCCCATTGGGGGCAATGGCACCCCTCTCGTCAGTATCATGGTGGGTCCCTTGGTGCTGAGGTCCAATTTCTCCATTCCAGACTTGCTCCTCGGGGCAGCACTATCCTGCCCTTGCCAACCCACACCTCTTGACCCGGTCACATCCACCCCCAGCCACTATTTCCTGCACCCTCAAGAGGAGATCAGGAAGCTAACCAAGTTTCTCTCATCCACTTACTAAGTAACTACCTATTGAATGCCTTTTACGCACCCACAGCATCCTACCAGGAGCCCCTCACCTGCTTAGTGGCACCCACTACCCTCTTCTATTGTCTCTGCCTCCGTCAAAACCTGCTCTCAGGGGATACCTGGGTGGCTCAGTGGGTTAAAGCCTCTGCCTTCGGCTCAGGTCATGATCCCAGGGTCCTGGGATCAAGCCCCGCATCGGGCTCTCTGCTCAGCAGGAAGCCTGCTTCCTCCTCTCTCTCTGCCTGCCTCTCTGCCTACTTGTGATCTCTGTCTGTCAAATAAATAAATAAAATATTAAAAAAAAAAAACCTGTTCTCAGGAAGGAGGCTGATAAATCCACTCATACTGATAGCCGCTAATGTGTTCTCTTTCCCAGGGATATTAACAATTTAACAGGGAACAAAGGGAAGAAGCTGAATGCTGGGATTCCAGCATCCACCAGGGGTGTCCCTGAGATCCCACAACACAGATTGTCCATTCAACCGTCTGCTCCCCCAGCCTGGGCTTGCCCCCCAGGACGCCAGCATCACATCCTCTCTGCACCCCCACATAACCACATGGACATCCAGCTCTCCCCACGCGACAGGAGGCTCACAGCTGGGACCTCCCCACTGCAGCTTCCGGCTGCCCAGAGCTCCTGTGCCAACACCAGCCAGGCCTGCTCCCCAGGCCCCCACCCCTGCACCCAACCTGTGGGGACCGGGCTGAGGGGGCTGCTGAGGAAAGCAGAGGTGAGAGCCTTTCCATTCCCTTTATTCCCCCACAGTCTGGCCTATACCCCCTGCCAGGAGCCAAGATCCAATGGTATATTCAGCTTGCAGCTGCCACTGGTCATGTGAGCCCATTGCTAGGTTACGGGGACCCAAAAATAAATCCTTCCCAACCAGATTAGAAACTGGGGGCCTTGGATGAACCAGGCTCAAAAGAGTGGCAGGAACACCCACAGTGCATGTGCAGGCTAGGCCTGTTATGAGACTGGGGAAGCTTCCCCATACAGCACCCCCTTCATCCATCAGCTGGGGCTCAATGCTGGACCCCCAAAGAAAAATTATAGAGTTCCAGGGTCCTTGTTGATTACACAGTGAATCAGTCTATGGTGGGGGAGTTCTTCCTCACTAACAGTCAGGGACTCCTTGGGCAATACCCTTCTCCCTCTTCTTCCCAGTCAACCTCCCCACCATCTGACTACCCCTCGCCACACCCCACTCCACCCCAGGGCCCTTGCAAGGCGCCATGAACCATTAGCCCTGTGGCTTGTGAAGCCGTCTGTATCAGTTGTCCTTTTCCAGACTTAGAAGGGGAGATCTGCCAGGACACACAGTCCTGGGCACTTTCACAGAATTTTACGACAATCTGCTGAGTTCGTTTTAGTCACTCCATTCATAAATGTGGAAAACGAGGCTCAGAGAGGTTAAGTGACTTTCTCAGAACCACACAGTGGAGCAGCTGGGCTTCAAATCCCAGATCTATATTTACTGAGTCTGGGGAGGTGGCAAGGACGAGGACAGGGAAGCACAACAAAGGAAGGGAACTCCCTGAAAACCCTGCCCTGCGCTCTAATTACTGGATGCTTTACTCGCTCTGAACTGGGCACACAGTCTTCTGCTGCCCCGACCTCTGCATCGTCTGAGTCAGGCCGCAGCTTTGGGCTGTGTCACCTTCTCTGGGGCTGCCCAGGACCTAGTCAGAGTGATTTCCAGTGCTTGGGCCAGGGAGGGAGGCATATGCAACTCCCCATTGGTCAGCACCCCTCTACTTCAGAACCTTGACTGGAGTCAGGCTTGCAGAATTCAAAGGGTCATAGGAGGTCAGGTACCTATTTTACAATGAGGAGGCCCAGAGAAGAGAAGCAACTTGCCCAAGGCCACCCAGCTGACCAGCGAAGGAGACCAGAATTCAAGCCTCTGGATTCCTGCTCCCTTTTTTGCCTGTCATTAGGACAGAGAGCTGGGGTCCACCAGACCTGAGGCTGGGGTCAAC